AGGAAAGAGGTGCAGTGGTTTAAATTTTGGTAAGCAGTGTTTTGCTATGATGTCATAGAATCATTAGGGCTGGAAAAGACCACTAAGGTCATTCTGTCCAACCATCAACCCATCCCCATCATGCCCACTAACCCACGCAGTGCCATATCCACTCTTGAACACCTCTGGGATGGTGGCTCAACCACCTCCCTGGGCAGCCTGTTCCAGTGTCCAACCACTCTTTCAGAGAAGAAATTTTTCCTGTTACTCAACCTGAACCTTCTGTGGTGCAACTTGAGACCATTCCCTCTAGTTCTATCGCTGTTGAAGGCGAGAAGAGGCTGACCCCCACCTCACCACAATCTCCTTTCAGGGAGTTGTAGGGAGTGATAAGGTCTCCCCTGAGCCTCCTCTTCTCCAGACTGAACAATCTCAGCTCCCTCAGTCACTCCCAGTAAGACTTGTGTTCCAGACCCTTTACAGCTTCACTGCCCATCTCTGGATAAGCTCCAGGACCTCGATGTCTTTCTTGTAGTGAGAGCCCCAAACTGGAACTGTTGTTTTTGCGTTGTGGTGTTCTTAATTTTTCACTGTTAAAGATAAAGGCAGTAGGATAAATGTTACCCCAGAGAAAAGCTGGCAGCACCTGGGTTTAGCAGTGGCAGCCTGGTGTTCCTGGTACTGGCTCCAAGTTTCACTGCCCCTTATACACCTAAAGCTGCTCTGATAGAGTGATAACACTTGCTATGAAGTTCATAGATGTTCTAGGGTTTTTCTTCTGTCTTGTGCCAGGTTATTTTTAAGCCAAATTAGTTCTCTGGCTGCATTCGCTACCTGACTGTAGGAAAGGAAGCAGCAGCATTTTTTTGGGAGACTTCATTGTTGAAGTATGTGGAGAGCTGAGAAGTGTGAATGCAGGCTGCTGGGGTTGGTCTGCTGCTGCTCATGTGCTTACAGTGCTGATGTCACTGTGGCTCTGCAGACCACTCTGTGCTGTACGCAGCTCTTTTGCTGGGGCAGCCCAACCTCATTCCCAGATAGCAGTAAACTCCTGCAGCATAAAGAATTTTCTGTTTCCTTCCTCTCTTCCTCCCCAGCCTCTATCTGTTAGCCTGTTCATTCGCATGTTGCCAGTGTGATTGGAGTTGTGAGTGTATTTTTGAGATGCATCTCTAAATTTATTTAAATTTTCTGTTCATAATTTTACAGGCTGCTAATAAACAGTAAGTATAGATCAAGCCAAGGAAAATGTGAGATGTTTTGGTTTCTTGTCTGTGGAAAGGAGCTAATGGGCCTCCGGGTATGAGGATGGGGAATTTGCAAGTCCTGGGTATCGTTTTTTTCTCCCTCTCTGTGTAGGACTTACAAGGAGGTAATTCAGTCTTGGAATAGAAGAATGCTTGATTTCTGCCTTCAGTCTTTTATCTCAGATTGTGTAAGCCAACTATGCTTCTGAAGCTGGTCCCATCTGTGATGATAGGGTGATAGCAATGGGAACAGGCAGGGACAGTAAAGAAAAAATATCCATCCAGTTGAGTCTGGCCAAAGGTCTGAAATGAGATGTGGATTCCCCTTGCAAAGATCTCCCCCCTCATTACACTAAATCAAAATGAAATGGAGATACTGATTTAATTCATGCACTCTTGGTACGTAGAATGTCTAAATATGAGTGCATTAAAGCAGGTGAAATGATTCCAGCAGCTTTTCTTGGGGAGAAATACGTTATTGCTGCGAGGCTTTGATAGAATGAGGGCAAACTTGTATAAAATGCCAATGCTTCCTGTTGGCTTTGTATTTGCATAATTCTCAGTGCTTTCACAAGGCTCCTTGCTTTCGAATGTTTGTCCAAACATTAAGTAATCTGCAGCAGCCCGGGGCTATCAGCGGCCATAGTTTCTGCCTAGGAGGGTGGGGAGGCTTTGGCTGAGGAGGACAAGATGAAGTTCTGCTGAAGGTGGAACTCTTCCAGGAAATTGGCACCCAGCTACGAATTCTCAGGGTAGCCTAATGGTGCTCAGCAAGACCTGCCCTGGCTCAGGCTTGTCGTATGGGAATAAACTCAGGTGCTGCCTCAATCTGGATTAAAAGATCAGATGATAATTCATGTTTCTGTGGCTGGAACATTTTAGGGGATGCCCCCTGTTTGTTTGTTTGTTTGTTTGTTCTTTTGTGGGATGGCTCATTATTTGTCACCATTCAGTTGCCCCTGTAGTCTGCAGGGGCAGGGGTTTTGCCTGTGCTCGGTCATTTCTCTGTATCCTCAGTGCCAATGGGATTTATTTCAGCCCATGCTGCAGCCGTGTCTGCATACAGCCAGGCTTTCCTGTTTGCTTGGCAGAGAGCCTGAAGGCAAAAAGGGTCCCCACGTCACTGAGCACTGTGGGACCGCTCAGCAAAAATGTCAGGACAGATTTCCCAGCCCCACAGAGAGCTGGGGGTGTCCTATCTGGTCCAAACCCACTGATCTCATGAAAACCCTCGCAGCTCCCAAATCAGGCATTGTGCTAGAAAGCGATAGAATACAAGAAATGAATCAATTCACATATCCTGGTAGTTGTATCTAAGCCACAGGGGATGTCCAGAAGGAAATGGTGTCACGCATTGGCAAGGCAGCAGCCGCATTTACTGGCTTAATTGAGATTTACTCATTGAAAATCTGCAGCTGAAAGCTGAACTCTGAATGTTGGACTTGAAAAGTTATTTTTTATCTAAACATACAGATCTGAAAGCTGGAAATATATCAGAGGTACAGGCAAATAATCTGAGTGCCTTTGAAAATAAATGGCTTAAGCGAGTGCTGAGCAGTAATCTCCCAAGACATAGTAAAAAAGAAGATAGAAGTATTTGGCGGATAAGAAACAGGACTGTCTGCTGTGTTGGGGGTCTTCTGGATAGTGGAATGGAGACACTGGCAGTGGTAGGAACAACCCTGCTCTTACATGCATTAACTGGGAGGAAATTATACTGGGTTTATTGTAGCCTGCACAGGAGGAGCAGCAATAGATGGGAGTGGTGGTTGACAAAAAAAAAGTCAGGCTCATTTAAAAGCTTTGATCATTTGGAGTCTGTGCTTAGAAGAGTGGGATAACATGGCACTGTCTGTCACTGAGTGATTTTGCCCTTGCTGGTAGTTTGAACTTGTGTAATTCCTGTTAATTCTACATGTACAGCACAATGCTCGGGTTTCCTTTACTGCAGAAACAGATTTCTACTGTCTTCATTACGGCGCTTGCAAAATAAGGTGTATTACACTTCTTTTCTCTACAGTAGTCTTTCAAAGCTCTGAGTTTCTGGAATTTCCCATTAAATGTCCAAAATGAGTTCCCATTACCGTGGATGGTTGTAATAGGTGAGGCATGTAGGTGAGGGAGAATAAGAAAAAGCCAATTAAGAGGTGTTATCAATGAGCAGAGGAACATGAGTACCGAATGCTACTGGGATCTTGAAGACTTCTTCCTTCCTAAGCAGCCAAGGTTATAATCTCACCAATTAATATATCAAGCTGAATCTTAAGGCTGGTTGGGCCACCTGCTCCTCTACTGCTGGAAAACATCCAGAGCTGAGTGTAGCTGGAAAGCTTTTTGCTCAAGCCTGAAGTTGTTCATAGCCAACTTATACTCATTTGGCCTTGTGAAGTTATCAGCTTTAATTGCTAAGGAGAACAGTCTTGTTTCCTCAGAACCACGCAGCTTAAACTGACAGCTCTCATCTCCCTTGTAAGAAGGACTTGTTATTCCCTCCTGGCAGCTCTGATGGGTTCTGTTCATATTCATCCTTCTTGAACATAGGCTCCCAGATGGAGCTTAATATCTTACAGTGTTCTGTTGTTATTGGTACACCTCTACATCTTCTCTTAATCTACCAGAGATACTTCATTCTCCAACAGTTGTCAGTATTATGTAGACCTTGAAGATCTGCTGTGCTCATGCCTTGATTGTCTCTTCCCAGCATTTGGTGATGTGTGTCATAGGAATGTGGTATTGAGTCTTCTTCTTGCTAAAGCCTTATGCTTGGAGAAATGAGGGGGTTGATCCTAGTCTACCTGCAGAGTGACAACATTTCTAGTGTTTAGTTTAGGCCTTAACTCAAACTGATCTTCCTCCAATGCTGGAACTAAGCCCTGAGCTTAGTGTCTTTGTGAAGAAGTCTTTGTGAACTCTGTGTGGAGTTCTTAGAAGAAACAACAGTTGAAAATGTTTCTTTTTTGTATTTGAGCAATTTTTATCAGGATTGTTTGGCAAGATGGGGTATAAAAAGTACATAGTACATTTAATATGATAGTATATCTGTTTTTGGTTTTAATCTTCATATTGATGACTAACAAGACACAGTTGTAAATCATGATGTTTGTGATTGTAATAGACTTTTTGCTACAGTTTTCTTCAAACTGGCAGGTGCTTCAGTTATTTGTTTAAAGAATTTGCATCTTTTTAACGGGGGTTTCAGGAGCTGAAGTGAAACTGAAGGTTCTAGGCAGTGCCATGGTTCACCTGATTTCCAAGGGCCCCCTCAGCACTGTGGGTTGATTGCAGCTCCAACTACTGATGTGATGAAGTCAGTAACAACGCCATGCTGTAGATAGTTGAGTTACTTTTTGCAGCAACGAAATAAGCGAAGAAATAGGGGTGCACTCTGCTGTAAGTAAGGGCTCTATCTCTGGGAGAAACCTACCTACTCATTTGTACTTTTGGTGGTTATAATTTGAGGCCCATCTCGTAGAATCATAGAATAGCTTGAGTTGGAAGAGACCCTTGAATGTTATCTATTTCTACTCATCTGCAATGAGCAGGGAAGCTAGCCATTAGGAATGAACTGTCAGCGCAGAACTGATGCTGGCAGAGCCTTTGCTTTCCATGCTTCGTTTCATTTGTGTGGAAGAAAAAAAAAGAAAAGAGAAAAGCCAGCAAAAACAAAAGCAGACTCTCTGCTGCTTGAAACAATAAATGAGCCATGATCTGATGTGGGTTTTATTTTCTTCCCCCCCCCTCATTTCCTCATCCAACTTTTTTTTTATTTCTCAGTCTTGGCAGTGGGAGCAACTATTCTCAAGAGCTGGTGCTCTGCTTTGGTGAGTCAATGGAACCACATGCACTCTGTTTACTAGAGTGCAGAATGTGCTCGTGCCTTGCTACTTCCCGGCATGAGTGACTTTGCCTTTATGAAGCTCTATGCATACGAGATGACGGTGGAAACTCGTCTCTGTAAGGCCAACACCTGAGCTACTGACGAAGGGAGTCTGCAGTGCAGTTGAGGTCAGTGTGATATGTAACCCCAGTGATGTAATGCACAAGGTTTTGACCTGCGGGAGGTTCAGCCAGGGTGGCTGAAGCACTTGTGGACACAGCTACTGCGTTGCTCTTCTGGAGTTTGTTCTGGGACACGTGGGAATGGGAAACATCATGTGAATCAGCTCAGATTTTTTCATGCATTGCAACTGCATCATATTAAAGTCACCTGAAATGGGTTACTAATAGTAGTCTGTACTCTTTTCTGGGAAGAGTAATGAAGTGAAGAATAGTGAGTAGCAAATACCTGAGTTATGTGACTTGAACTCATCTGTGCTAGGAGACCAGCACCCTCCTCTACTGCCAGACATGAAATGACCCAGATGTGAGTGTCAGAATAGGTCTGATGGGGCAAACCTACAGTAAGAAAGCTGTTTGTGAGATTATACATGAATATATCTACATAAAAACACATAGTTGGTTTAATCAGTGACCCTGTGGTTACATGGACCTGTAAGGGTTGTGGCAGGTGGTCTCCTGGCGATGCAACAGCCGTGGTAGATGTTGTCATTGCTGTGTCTGCTCTGCTTCCTGTAGGCTGCGGTGGTCCCTATCAGAGGCAGAAGGGGAACTGTGTCAGCTCCTCAGCTGCTACAAGTCACAGCTGGTGAATTAGTTTAACCTGTTAATTTAATCTTGCTAGGCCAGCAGGTCATAGAATCATAGAATCACTCAGATTGGAAAAGACCTTAAAGATCATCGAGTCCAACCATAAGCTAACCATACTGGCCTAACTAGCAACCTTCTGCTAAATCATGTTCCTGAGCACCACATCTGAATGGTTTTTAAACACATCCAGGGATGGTGACTCAACCACCTCCCTGGGGAGCCTATTCCAGTGCTTAACAACTCTTTCTGTGAAGAAGTTTTTCCTGATATCCAACCTAAGCTTGTGGATGCTGATGCCCAATGGTGGGCAGTGACAGTATTGTGCTTCCTTCTGCTAGGTGTGCGGCTCTTCTCTCCAAATGTCTGAGGCTGGAGACCAGATGCTGAGCAAGGATAGTGGTTGGGTTTGATCTTGTCTGGTGATCACTGTGTTACTATGTTTAAAGCCCATCAATTTCACTGGAAGGCTCATCACATGGTCTCTGCAGGGTTCAAATTCTTCAGAGTTATTCCTGGTTCCTGTAGATATACAGAGCTGTGATGCAAATGAATTAATGCCTCAGGGCATCCTAATGAATAGGACTTCACTGGTGGAACCGAACCATGTATAATGATGTACAATAAACTCCTCCAGGTTGCCCGTGTCCGTGGGGATGCTTGAGGATTTGGATTTAGAAGGCAATTTCACAGTTTTCCAGAGGTCTGTTTCTGTGGGAAGCGTAATGAGGAAGAGGGTGGCAGGAAGTGATGATGTGAAGGCAGTTGAGGATCACAAGATCTTTAATCCCTCAGTGCCCCACAAGTGGGGCTCTTTATGCCTCCCTGTTCCGCTGCATTATGGTTAGAAGAGAACAGGCTCCTGCTGTCCTGGTTCCATGCGCTGCCTCCAATGGCTTTACGCCACTGTGAACACAAATGAAGAGAAAGGGAGATAGGATACTGTCATATTGGCCTGGCTGCATTCATGGAGATCTCTACTAGTGTGACCGTTTTGATAAAAAGAGGACTAGAAATTTCCCTCTTTTCTGTGGCGCTGACTGATTACAGTGCTGATAGGAAGTCACATATACAGTAGCTGTACATGTTCCCAAACCTGGTGGAGACCTCTACAAATAAAATAAAAGTGTGCTCAGAATTGCTGCAACAAACCATCCATCTTGAGTACCAAAAGGGCTTGTTGAAGTACCAAGCTTGTTGAAGCTCTGAGGGGTGAATGCAGTTTCATGTTGGTGAGAGTAAGTTCTTACCAGCTAAATTAGGCTTTGTCAACTCAAGGCTAAAACTTTAGCATAGCTGTGGAAAGAGCAGGCTGGCTTTGGCATATCTGGATACTGGCATGATGTGTTTCCTGTGGTAGGTGTTGGGAAAACCTGCATCTGCTGTAAAACAAACAGTTCTTTCCCTTGGAAGTGTACTTGCTGAGATATGGTTGATGGACAAGTCTCCCTTGATAAATGTGACTTCACAGATCATATTTTCAGCCTCATGGAAAAAATGGAAAAGGTATCAAATGTGTCAAACTATTTAAAGGACGTGTCTGAAGGTTTGAAGGTAATCATTCTAAAAATAAACATTAAAAATGATTCATGAGCTTAGGCCAGGTTATTTCAAGATCAAAATCAAGGCTACGGCACTCTTACTCTCAGTGTAGGTTTCCAGGTCATTTTCATTGACTTTGTTCATCTGTGCTGCTTTTGAGGTAGGAAAAAAATGCAAATATCTACGAGGATCTTTAAACTCTCTTCTTGAAAGCATGTCCCTGAGGAGTCCTGATTCTTCTTGCAGTCTTATGATTGCAGGCCTGTTCTGTGTTGTTTTCCTTTGGTATCTCAATTTACTCATTAGGGAAAAAAAAAGAAGAAAAAAAAGAAGAAAAAAAAAGTAGTTACGGTGCTTTTCGTATGATCAAAGCTGTTGTACCTTGAAACAGGTTGCCTGGAGAAGCTGTGGATGCCCCATCCCTGGCAGTGTTCAAGGCCAGGTTGGATATAGGACCCTGAGGATGGGCAGCCTGAGCTGGTGAGGGGCAGCTCTGCCACTACAGTGGGTTGGGACTGGATAAGCTTTAAGGTCCTTCTCAATCCAAGCCATTCTGTGATTCTATAAACTTTTTTTGGTATGGTGGTGTGTACACAGCAACAGTGTGTGGACAGGTCCTATGAGGACGTGGTGTGGCAGGTCTTGGGACCTGCTGGAACGAGCAGCCGTGACGGCCTTGTTTTTCCAAGATAATCTTTTATCAGGAAAGCAGTTCAGAAGATGTAGGTGAAAGGTGATGCTGACCAAGTGCTGCCACTTTCCTGGCTGTGTCCTTTGACTTTTTAGGCTTTTCTTAGCCTCGCTCATCATATTGCAGCTACTGGGTTGCTCCTCACCAACGTGAGCTGCTCCAGGATCGTAAGAAAGATTTTGGGGCCTGGAGAAGTGTGAGCTGGTGACTGTGTGAAAGTTTACATTTGTTGTATTGTAGACATGTCTGATCTGATGTCCTGACGTCCAAATGGGCACGTTGGCTGGGTCAGAAGAGGGAAAGACGTGTCATCTTCTTAAGAAGTGAATGAATAAACTGAATATTCTGTATGGAGTTATTTTTATGCTTGACTGCCTGTCAAATAATCAAAGCCCCAAATAATCAAGTTCAGTTGTTACAGTGCCACTTAATCATGAATCTTGATGAAATGCTTGCTCCTTCCTTCTTTTCTTTTTCTTTAACTTTGGGACCTTCTCTCAGTAAATATGTCCCATAGTCTAATTATGCACCATGTGGAAAAAAATCTTCCTTTATCAGTTATACATTTGTTATCTTATGTAAACAGGGAAAGCTGACTAGAAAGGCCTCTAACGTTTGCTCCTGTATAGTCCCTGATAGGAGGGTGTGCAAATGGGAAAGGGGATTGGCAAAAAGGGTTTCTTGAATGAGTGACATTTGGAAGAAGATATTTCCGAGTATTTTGGGTTGGATCATAGACCTGTGAATTGCTTCACTTAAGATCATGTCCTCTTGCAATAGTTTATCTCCATTCTTAGTGAAGGATTCTTGGATGAAGGACGGCCATCTTCATGAAAACAGATCTTCTGTTCCCCTGCCATGTCCATAGAACTGATTATGACTGTGAGGTCCTGACTCAGCTGGATTCAGTACAGAAACCCCAATGGGACTCCCCATGGCAAGGTTGTACGACAAGAATTAAACCCTGTGCTTAAGAAAAGCAGATCACACGCAGGTGTTGTGGTAGACAGTGCCTTTCTCACTGTAACAGGACAAAGAGCAGACAGGAAGCCATGAGAGAAATGTGTTCTTAGGAACCCTGGCAGGACATTGTCATCTGGTTAAGAGAAAGAGACCTTTAGGACTCCGAGATTCATGGAGCGTGCCTTATAGGCAATGAAGTAGTTAGCTGCATTCACATGAAGCTGATGGCATGTGGCTGGAAATTCCTCCAATGCCTCTAGGTGCTGATGTAAAGTAATCCTACCTGGTTTTTATTTATTTTTCTCATAATTCTAGTTTGAACACCAAGAGGTGGAATTCCTCTCAATAGTAGCATGCAAGCTGTTCTGAAAACTTGGGCATTAGGCACTGAAGAACCTGGACTGCATGACATGACAATTTTAATTATTAGCAGCAGATAAGAGGTGCAGTGCATCACCAGTCTTAAAACATAAAAATAAATTTCCTCTTTGAGTTGCAGGAAATGTAGTTGGTTTTGTACATACATGAAGGTGTCCATCCCTCCAGCTGCGCCTGAGCCTTACTGCTGTCCTGCCAGCATATACAGCATGGGCATCAGTGCTTGGTGGGAATCTTTGCATCTCTTCGTCCAAGCAGAAGACGGGACCTTCCTTTGGATACTGGGAGAAGCATGAGCACTGGGCTATAGCTCTGTAGCAGAACTGCACTGAAGCAATAAATAAAACATTTCCATGCTGCATTTAGTTAAACCAACACTGCATCTATGTTTGGATGAACATAGATGAACATAATCCTATGCTGTTATGAAATCTTTCTTAATAATAGTAATTTCATTCACTTCGAGAGGAGCCTGAGCTAGTGCCCATGAACTTAACTGTGCTGCGCATTAATGCTGCCTGTATTAGCAGGTAGGCATTTATTTGGATTTGCCAGCAGTTGCTGAAATGAGTCAAAGTACTCCATGGGCTTTGGTTTGATTGAAAACACTTTCTGTTATTATTTACGGAATATTGAACATGTGCCCTTAGTAAACAGGAGGTTAAAAAAAGTAACAGGAAGACAGAGCCTAATCTGCCAAAACATCACCGGACTGCTGTTCCCAGAGATGTTTTGAAACCTTCACCTTGGTTGCTCTACAGGACAGTGTGCCAGCCCACAGCATGGG